CCATGTGCCTGCTCATCTTAGCTGCTATGATGCCTGACAGGAGCTTCCATGTTGTGCAGAGGCAGGTTATTGGGCGGTAGTTGGATGGTACTGCTTCCTTCTGAGGGTCCTTCAGGATCAGGACCATCCGGCCTTCAGTTAACCATTCAGGGTGGGTTCCATCCATTAGTAGCTTGTTCATAGCTGGTTCATTTCTTCCGCCAGGCGCTCAAGGAGTGAAGTTAGCTTCTTTAACCAGTAGGCGTGAATCATGTCAGGGCCTGGTGCTGTCCAACTCTTATATATATATATATGTGTATAGAGAGAGAGAGAGAGAGAGAGAGAGAGAGAGAGATGTGTGTGTGTGTGTGTGTGTGTGTGTGTGTGTCTGTGCCTTTGTATTACTTACATCATGAGGACCGAAACCTGAATCACTGAATTTTTGCGTGGCAACATGGTTTAGGGTCAGGATGAGGTTAGGGTCAGGGTTAGGGTTAGGCAAGTAGTGGTTATGGTTAAGGTTAGGATAAGTCTACAGGAAATGAATATAAGTCAGTGTAATATCCCCACAAGGGCTGAAAACACAGCGGTGTGTGTGTGTGTGAGAAAGAAAGAGTTTCATTAAAGCCTTAGCTGTAAATTACTCATTTTAGCAAATGCCCCCCCAAATTAATCATTATATTGTTTGCATGGCAGTCAATCATGTGAAGTGAGTAGGGAAATAAATAAATCTTACATGTCTTATGTTTTTAAAGGAATGATTTGGGGGAAAAGTAGTTATGCTTTCTTGTTAAAAATTAGGTGAGAAGATTAATACTGTTCTCATGAGTGCCCACTGGTTGATAGGAACTACCTCTCTTTCCACTTGTAGTGTGCAAACTACAGCTCTGTAAATGTGTGAACCACCAAGAATCAGAATAAGAAAAACCTTTCATCTCCACAGGGAAATAGCTTTGTAACAGTTACTCAAGACTATGGAAGTTGTATCTTATAATTATACAAGATTACAAGAAATACAGTAGGGCTAGAAGAATTACAAGAAAGCAGTGGGATACAGTCTGGAGTCTCGTGGTTACAGAGTGCATGTCACACACATTTCACAGGAGGAACAATGTAAATAATAACCATGGTGGCATGTGAAAGCTTTCTGGGTATGTTGTACTGGCATTGTCCAATGGCTACAGTTGAAAATCTTGGCTACAGAAACATCCCTTCACAGTGTGGCACCACTTGTTAATAAATGCAGAAATCTCTTTTAGAAGTATGTTTTATATTTCCTCTTCTCCATCAATGTCTGTTGTCAGGGCCCATTTCGTTTCCTTTGTCATATTTTGTACAAAGTATCTGTTTTGGTATTGATGATACCAGCCTGGGTTTTCAGAAAGGAACTAAGTGGTATTGCATATAGTGTCTACTAGGGGGTAGAGTTATGCTGGTGGTCTGCCAACATCATGGTGACAACAAGAATAAAGGAAATCTGTTCACCCAGACAAATAAATATCTTAACCCACAGTGAAACCACGTCTCAGTTTAGCTGTGATTAAACAAACAAAATTTGTTAACTACTGAGCATTGGAGGCTCTGGTGGATAAATTTTTGTCCATCAGACAGCATCAGTTTCCCTTTGTTTCCATTCTTTATGCTAAGCTAAGCTAGCTGTAGCCTTAAACTGAATGAAT